TTTTTTTTTTTTGTTGAACATTTTATAAGTGGATCTGATTTGTTGTGTTTTTACAAATGTTGTTGTTTTTCGCAGATAGAGACGACGGGTTTTTTGATTATTTACAACAACAGTTGTCATCATCGCGTGTCAAATTCCATTTGTTGGGGAGCGCGGGAGATACCTGTGGAGTCGAGGAGACCTGTTAATCTTTTCATAATAATCATAAGTCGCGTTCTAATTTATAATGAGCATATCATGAAAACTGTCCGCAGTTGCGTAGCACACTCGTCTGAACAAGCATATTACATGTTAAATGGCTCGATGGTACAAACATCTAATCTAATACAATATAAAGATTCATACCATCTCAAACAACTCTGCTTCTTCTTCTCAAACGATACCTAATAACAAAGTATGAGTAGTTTCTTGAAACTTTTGAAGTGCCAAGAATGCCCTTACTAAAAATAAGTTTTAATCCCAATTTTGCAACGTAGGATGGTTTTGTTTTGTTTTTGTTTTTTTATTTCTGATTATTTTCCAGATTATAAAACATTTTAATTTACACCAAACAAAAAAAAAAAAAAACCGCTTTTTTCTTACTCAAATTGAATGTATTCATTATTTTTATTTTAAAGACATTTGAACTAAATATTAATGATTGGGGATTGACTCCTTGTGCGTGGTAGTTGAGGGTATTAGGTACTTGAGAGTAGAGTTGTAAACGAATCGAACGTTCGTGAACAAAAGCTCGTTCAAGCTCGTTTGTGTTCGACAAAAGCTCGTTCGTTTATTAATCGAGCCAAGTTCGAACAGAAAATTAGGCTCGTTTACTAATCGAACGAACACGAGCTCGTTCGTGAACATTCGATTATGTTCGCGAATTTTAATTTAGTAATTTTATTTTATTTTTTACATATTTATATATATATTTAATAAAAAAAATCTTAAATGTAGTATAATTTATTTATTATTTATATATTTACGTAATATTTTTAATAAAAAAAATCTAAAATATAAAAATATTTTTATTTTATTCCTTTATTTTCGAGTTCGAACGAACAAATTTCAAGTTAATCAAACTTATTTAAAATTTAATGTATTAAATTATTCGAACACGAACGAACTCGAACATGATTTTTTTTGCTCGAAAAATAAACAAACGAACACGAACACTGTTCGAACTGAACGAACATGAGTTCGAACAACCCAAACTCGGTTCGGTTCGGTCCGTTTATAGCACTACCTGAGAGTTCATTGCGTGGCTACCGCAATTTAATTGAAGGCAGTTTATGAGGGGCCGGAGCTGATTCCTCGAGAACTAGTCAGACGCAAGCCTGAAACCTCGGTATAAAAAAATGATATTAACTAATTTTTTGTATTGTGTATGATTTTTATATTTCTCATTTTCTGGATTGAATATTTTTATACTATTTTTATTTATTTTAATTTTTAAATTAAATATTCTCATCTTTTAACACTTGATTTTTTTTTTATTAAATAATTTTTCTTTGATATCAAATAAACTAATGTATACATTAGAAAATCAATGTAACAAAAAACTTCCATATAGGTTGCGCATAAAATAAACTATAAATATATTATAAAAATAGCATAAAATAATGTAAAAGGTAAAATAACTTGTTATATTACGACCTTTTTTCCAAAATACAAAAACATAACGATTTTTGCACTTTGACACATAATATCATGATATTTGGTTTCTTTACAAAAAGATACACAATTTTCACAAACCGGCCATCGGTGCTTACTTCTCCGTCTAACCTTTTATTACATGGAATAAAAATATGATGTGTAATTTTTTTTTTCGCCGCCCAGTGATGCCGCAGTCGACTGCAGTACGCGAAATGTTCGCGGGCGACCCGCAACCAGCTACCCGTGACCTCCCAGGCATCCTGCTAGTGACCTGCGACATCCCAGGTGTTCCCAGGTGCAGCGACTGCGCGACCCCTTGCCTACAGCGCCTGTGCGCCTTGACCAGCGACATATAGATCCTGTGTGCGCGCCCAGCAACCCGACGACGCCCGAGTTGTGACCTATGCGAGCCACCAGTAGCTTCGATCCACCTCAGCGAGCCGAATTGAACTGGGAGCACGTGTGAGCAAACCGGCCTAATCCAAATTGAGCCATAATTACTTTTTTATCCATACTAAGTTTTAGTGGAGTCGAGCTTTAAGAGCATGTTTGTTTACAAGAAGTTTCAAAAAAATTCTAACATTTTAACTCAACCACTTTTTTTAACTCAACTTTAACTCAACTTCACTATCATCAATATTATCAATATAATTAAATAATATCAATCAATTATTCATACACACCACATCAACCTTAATTTACTATTTATCCACTCACATTATTTTAATAACTATCACTGCAATGATCTATTTCCTACTTTTATATCAAATCAATTTTAATTATTTTATATTAAATATTATGTTAATATACCCACTAACAACTAACCATACTACTTTTTCAAAATCAACCAAACCAAACAAAAAAATCCATACAAATCCAAAATTTTTCATAAACAAACATGCTCGTATTTTGAAGTTGAGCTATAGCCAAGCTAAAATTTCAGTTAATTGAGCCTTGAGTTTTTAATCCTAGACTTTAATCGAGCTCAAAAGGCGAGAATATTATTAAATAAATTAAGTTAAGAATAAATTAATTAATTAACAAAGTTAATTAATTAACTTTAAGAATTTACCAATCGAAATAATTAAAGCAATCAAATCAAGAATCTATTTGAATAATGAGTAAAATATATTAATATATAATAAGGATTAACATAATTCACTTTAGTAATCTTTTCCCGCCAAATTCATTAATTATAGCCTAAAAATAGTAACTTAACAAACTTTCATTAATCATTGCCTAATTATATTAGATATGTTTTTCCAATTTTTGTTTCATTTTATGATATGGAATAAAAATCCAAAACAATATCCTCTTTTTGTAGGTCCATATCAATATGGAATTTAGAATCTCTTGTCTTACGATATTCAATTAAAAAATATATTATTCATTTAATACTTTGATATATTTATGTAAAAGAAACAAAGTTATTATTTAAATCAGTTGATTATCACACAGTATTCTACGCATATTTAATACTTCGGTTTGTGTTTGTTTTAGTAAATTTTTGGTTTTATAGTGGTTTTGTAGGCAAAGATTATGTAAATAATTATATGTAGCCGATTTTGGAACTCTTATTTATCAAGGATTCTTTTTTATTTTAACATATTTATTAGAATCATTGATTTGGATTAACATATATGTTACATACACACAAAAAAATAATTGTATAGTAATATTTAAATTTACATGGAGTCAATTTTTGAATTCTCATTTGTGAGGATTCGTTTTTATTTTATCATATTTATTAGAACCAACATTTACAAAATATAAATTTATGTTCATATCTAAATATATTTATATTACTATTTAAATATATTTTTCATTGTAGCAGATTTTGAGAATGAACGATTTTATATGAGATATACAATTTTTTTTTTTTTTTTGAGATATACACCAATTTCCTTTCTTGGTATTCTTTTTGTCAATTGTTTTTAAAAAGAAATTTTCAAAATTTTGTATAGTAAATCATTTTTTTTGTTTATGTATACACAAAATACAAATTTATTGCAAAATCTACACATATATATATATATATATATATATATATATATATATATATATAAATTTACTACCTAAAAAGTTGTCACACATATTATAGGAAAGTTGTCCAATTAAAAATTGTTCAGTTTGAAAATATATAACAAGTTGTCACACATTCAATTAAAAATTGTTCGGCTTGAAAAAATTAGCCTGAAGTAATGTCTAATCAATAATGTTTTATATTTTATATCTACTATATATAATCTCTCTCATAAAATTAGTGTGATGTAGTATTTAATGTTTTGTATTATTCATACATATTTTTGTAGATATACACCAATTCATTTGTCCAACTGTTGTATAAATTATCATATTATAAATAAATCCATCTTAGACTTCCATTTAAGTTCCAGAGGCACCAATTCCTTCTGATTTTGGGGTTCTGTTTAACAGTCATGATCAGTCTTTTGTATAAAAAATATAAAAATATTAGTGAATATTATATAGGTAATCAAGTATAATCGATATTAAACTAACAGCTCATTGTCTGACTGCCTAAATAAATTATCATATTATAAAAATATCCATTTTAGGATTTCATTTAAATGCTAGAGCACCAGTTACTCCAAATCTTAGGGTTTCAATTAAGATCGGGGTCAGTCTTTATGTGCATTGGCATATTATTAAAGAAATCGGTTCTTAGCAACGACCGATTATATGTTGTTGTTTTTACGTGTAAATAATAGATAATAGATGTGCATTGGCATGTTTTAAAAAAAAAAATCCTTTTTTGATCACGACCAATTGTATGTTGTTACACGTGTAAGTCATAGGTAAGAAGAGTCAAAGTCAACATTTATTGTACGTTGGCATGTTAAGTAATAGATCAAGAAGAGTCAAAGTCAATATTTATTATACGTTGGCATGTTTTTAAAGAAATCAATTTTTAGTCACAGACAATTATGTTGTTTGTTTCGCATGTAAGTAATATAAAAGTATTGAAAATATTAGTTTGTGGGAACGGCGAGTTGCTCAGTTATTGAACAAATAATGTTGTGTACAAGAAAGTTTAAATAATATATTTTTTTGCATGAGAAAACATTTTATGATTTGATAATTTTCCTACGAATTATCACTCTTTTATTTATGGCTTAATTGCCGCCAGCATCACGACCTTTTACATTTTGGACATTTTAACCAAACCTTTGGAAATAGGCAAACATATCACGACCTTGTATAAAAATTGCAACCCGAACCCAAAGTCTGTCGACGGTGAATTTTTGACAGCGTGTCCGGCGTCCGTTCCTACGTGGCCTCGACTGCTCGCTGACTTGGCACAACCAAACCGACGTGTTAAAAACCCAAAATACACGTGTGATACACACAAAATAAAAACAGAATCGGGGCCAAATTGATGAAAAAATTCCCCAACTCTAGCCCCAAAATAAAACCCTAATTATTTCTTCCCCATATTTCGCAGCTAATTCCCTAACCCTAGCCCCAATTCGCAGCCAATTATCCTCAAAAATCTCACCATATCTGTCTGAAAATGTCTTGCTCATCTCGTAGAAGCCAAAATTCCCAAAATAGTGGTGCCTCCAATGCGTCGATACGGAAGCTGTGCGACCACGGTGAAGATGCGATCGTTCTCACCTCCATGACTAATGATAATCCATGTAGGAGGTTCTACAGATGTCCGAATAGAGAGGTAATGTAATTGCTGTCGAAATTTTTTTTTTTCTGGTGAAATTTTTTTGCTGTCGATTTTTTTTTCTGGTGAAATAGAGAGGAAGAATGTTCATAGTTGCTGTCGAATTTTTTTTTTTTTTTTGGTGAGAATTTGGCTGAGAATAGAATTCTGGTGAAATAGGATTTGTTTTGGTGAATTTGGCTGAATTTAGCTAAGTTAATGGTTCATAGTTGCTTTGAATTTTTTTACTGTGAATTTTTGCTTTCGAAATATTGCTTCGAGATTTGTCTTTCATTGATATGCAGAAACCTTGTCGCTTCTTTGAATGGATTGATCAATCATTGTCCGCATTTCAAAGGACATGCTTCATAAGATTGAAGGCTGAAAAACATGATTTGGAAGAAAAGTTGCGGGACATGGAAAAATTTCACAATCACAGATCGAGTTTGAAAGAGGATGTTGAAGGTGACAAGAATTCTGAAATGATTTTGGTTCTGGAGAAGACCATAACTCAAGTGAAAAACCTTGAAAGGAAAATGAGTGTTTTTATGGTTTCTTTGATTGTTGTTGTTTTAGTTCTTGTTGTGAGTGTGTTTGGTAGAAATGGTCATGTCCATTATCTTAAGATGTTGAACTGAAGTATGTATTTTCTTAGTTTTTTGGTGAATCATGGGGCTATGTTAGGTTGATGTACGTACTGAAATTGGAATCCTCGTATGAAATGTTATTTTGAAGTAATGAATTGATAAACTATCTATTTTATTCATGAGATTGAGCATTTTCTTATGTTAGTTTGAGCATTATGTTATGTTAGGTTCATAAACTATCTAGCTTTTTTTGTGTAAATTGATCAACTAAATCACAGAAGAATGTAAATGGCTTATGTAAATTCATTTGCAAAACATTATACATCACAAGATCACATGATTCATTATCAAAACCACAAAACACATAGTTGAAATTCCATATCCATAACAAAAGTTTCCAAACATCCACAATTGTTCCAAATCTGTTCCAAAAACAGCACCATAACATTACCAAAATACCACATCAAACATCCACAATCTGTTCCAAAAACAGCATAACATATCCCTAAGATCAGTTCAACAATACCAAATTTTTTCAAAAGTATCCCAAAAGCACCATAACATTACCAAGTCTGTTCTTAGTTCAGACTGTCTGTTCAAAATACCACATCAAACACTAACACATCATCATCAAGTCTCACTCTCTTGAGTGCATATAAAGTCCCCTGCTTGTTGTGATGAAGGTTTGGTACCTCTCCCAATTGACCTTTGACCTCTTCCTCTCCCAGTTGACCCACTCCTCTGACCTCTTCCTATCCCAGAGGAACCACTCATTTGCCCTCTACCTCTAGCAGAGGTTGACCCACTGTGGTGTCCTCTGCTTGAGCCACTGCTTTGACCTCTTTCTCTAGATACCATATGAATATTCTTTCCACTGGACACAATACCAAAATACTCACACATAAATTTATGTCATACATAAATATGGGTAAATAGACCAAATAGGGACACGTGGCAAGACACCATAGTGCAACATTAATCTCGTCTATGGACAGAAAATTAACTGCAGTAGTAATCTTGTTGTAATGATCAAGCATTGATAATAAGTTCTGTCAAACAAAAGTCTATCTTTGGACTGACTAATGTTCACATGAACAATCTAAATAATTATCACTTACTTATCATCACATGCGTGTTGTTATTTTGCCAAATTGTGTCTACCTATGGGCTGATCACAAAATGCATAAATAATTCCACACGACATCTATGTAATTTCAATAAAGTCGCTCTCCACACACAGAGGTTGCTATGGCAACATGATGTTTTGATTGACTAAATTGAAAATTACTAGACCAATTGAGTAAAAGCCATATGAATTTCTCTTATCACCATATGTGCGTTATTATTCGGTCAGCCTGCGTCTACCTATGGGCCGAGCACAGATCACATGAACAACTTCACACAACATTTAAATGATTTCAATAAAGTCATTCTCTATGCACAGAGGTTGTTATGGCAACATGATACTTTGATTGACTAAATTGAAAATCACAACATCATAGAAAAAGTGACCAAGAATTTCTCTATTACTCAATTTAACAACGTTAAATCGTCGCCCCAGGAAAACTTTGGATATAAAGTTCATGAATTAAAATAAATTTAATTCCAACTTTATTTAGATTGAAAGCCTATATAACCAATTAGGCTTAAAATCTAATTTCAATAAGTTTAAATCAAAATAAACTTTCTTTTGAATTTACGGCCCACTATTACCAAATTGGGCTAAAATTCAATCCCTTTACATCCAAAAGTGAGTTCAAGCATATATAAACTCAACATGACATTATTTTGGAATTTAAGCATAACCAAATTAAACACACAAGTCATGAAAAAGCTTAATATGTTACTCATAATTGACTCAAAAAAAAATCTTATAGATTATATATGAAGATTTTCAATATAAATCCTATCCTTATGGGACAATTAGCCCAGCATTCCGGAAACACATTATGAGTCTACCACAAGGTCAAACTCAAACTCCAGACCTTATAAATATTTTGAGATACCAAGAAAAAGATAATTTCAAAATCTAACTTTTAATTTGAGTCAAAATATGAAACTTTATATGAACTTGTGTCCATTAACTTTATTTGAGTTTAAAGTCTATAAAACCAAATTAGACTTTAAATCCAATTTTATATAGCCAAAGCCTAGTACATCCAAATTAGGCTTAACATTGCCGAATTGTGAATTAAGTCCACAAAACATAGAACCAAGTTCAAATATCTAGATTTTAAGCTAGAAACAAACGTTGTTAATTGAGCCGAATTGGACGAAAACCAAATGACAACTTAAGCACAAATTAATACACTCATAACAAAATAAGACAAAATAAAGATCTACTATTTTATTTTATCTTCTTTAGTGAAAGACCATAAAACTTAATCCCTTGTGTTGATTTAAAACCTTATAAACAACCATAATAAATTTTAAATCAACCTTTAGATGGATAACTCCATAGATCCCGAAAACATACAAGTAACAATATCAATGTTTACGGTCAAAAATTTACTTAGAATTAACATAATAAACTCAAATAGGGGTAGCTTTATCTCAAGACATCATAACTCCATTGATATTTCATGTTCGGATAAAATATTAACTTGTAATAGATATCTTAGTGTAGTGATTAAACATTGACAATAATAACATATCAAACAAAAAAAAAAATCTTTGGGCCAATTTATCGTGTTCATATGTACAACCAAATAATTGCCACATGTTTATCATCACAAGTATGTTTATAATTCGGCCATGTGTTAGTTCACATTTGAGTTAATCAACACACGCATGAATTACAAAAATACAACAATCTTTAGTACTTAAATAAATTAATCTACAAAAGATGTCACTTTGACAACATTTTGTTTCATCCAATTTGAATCACTCAAATATACAGATGGATTCATTAATCCCAAACAGCATGTGAATTAATCTCATATCCAATCTCATCAAGCCTGGCGGATTTTAATTGGAAACCAAACAACTAAAAGCCACAATTCAAACAATTACCCAATATTGAATCCATATATTAAATCCGTACAAACATGAAAAGCTAAGCAATAAGATCAAGCAATTTTAATTTTGAATATCAATATCAAAATTCTGTCACATGTAATTGAATAGAGAACAATCGGATAAAAATTCAATCACATGAATATTTGATCCCAAAGCAACTAAACAGATCATGACATAAATTCGATCAGATATAAACTGATTCTCCACAATTTAATATGAAGAGGCTCTGATACCACTTGTTGGAATTAACCTTATACGAAAACCATCGCTTTATCTCAGGAGCATTCATATCAAATAATCGAGAATCAAACTAGATAGCGGAAGCGTACCTTAGGTAGATTTCTAGATTTGATCACCATGGAACATGACTTGGATCACGAACACATCATCAATTACGAACGGTGTTGGTTTTATGGCCTTCCTCAACTAAATCGCCTTATTCCTCATATGGGACCGTCGTTCTCCATTCCGATGGGGAGAAAAGAGAACTATGTTTGATTTAGTGTGTTGGGGACCATAACCAAGAGGGTCTATATATACTAATAGGATAGGCCACCCATTATCACCTAACCCTAGTAATATTAGGTATCCACTCATTAAGTCCATATCAATTTATGTAGCCCATGAACTCTACTTAATTTAGATCACTTAATTGAGTCCATTATTAATTGAATAGCTAATATAATATAATTGTATTTAATATGTTGCCCATAATTAGATTATACATAAGAAATAAATATTTCCTAACATCCCTCTGTTCTCCTGCCATAGCTCATTTTCTCTTCAAAAATTTTCATGACGATTTACTATCGGCTTGGGAAAGGGAGTGTTGGATATCATCATGAAGGCTGTATTTGACCTTTTGAAGAACAATGTGAACAAATTCAAATTGGGGATGGCAGAAGAGAACGGGATAGTAAGGCGAAGTTTTTGGTGTTTCTTGGTCGTTTGCATATGGATAATCTTTATCGTGTATGCCACGGCAATCGTGGATCCGCCTGTTCCGGTAGCCATCGCGGCATCGCCACAGCAGTTCGGGACCTTTGGAACTCAGGCGATGACTATCTCTCTTTACTGCTATTTGTCTTGTCATATTTTACCGTTGTACTCTCGATATTCGTCTTCTTGGTCTTCCAATCTGTTGATGATAACAAATCAGAAATCAAGATGATCAAAATTTGTCCTAAGGCCAAATGCTTTTGCATGGGCATCTTTATCCTCTTGTGTTTGTTGTCGACTTATCTGCTTGAGGATTTACTCCTAGTGTTTTTGTGTTTTTCGTTCTGTTTTCATGTTATTCCCCTGCTAAACATTTTGGGGTCCAATGAAAACTTTGGACTTGTTGATTGCTTTATGGCTCTGCTGTTTGAGGTGGGACTCTTTATCTACAGAGCATATCCGAAATGTGTTCCGCTTGTCATTGCCGTTGCTTTTACTACAGCAGTTGGTTTGTATCACAAGGAGGGACGTAAAGATATCTCCCAGCTCGAGAAGCATTCGGATGACGGGCAGAAAAAATCGACACGATTGATTTGCTTGCCTCGTTGAGAAAAGGCACAAAATTAATGAATGACGTCATTGCTAGTTAAGAGGTGGCGGGTTTGAGCTTTTGTAAGTTAAGGGGAGATTCTACGATCCGTTACGGATTTGTAACCGTTAGATCAACTATCCACGATAATTATCTAACAGTTACAAATCTCAAAAAAATGGTTCCCATACTATAGCATTTTCCATAAGGTTAATCCTCGCAGTTTATTGTTTGTTTAATAACATGACCTTTTTTATTGCAATTTGTCTTCTTTATTTGGTTGAATATTTCAACGAATATTTTGTTCAAGAGTCTCAATAGTGCCTTTTTCAATGTATTTTTTTATTTGAATTATTTGGAATTCTTGAGTACGTTCCGGACGCATTCTGTATGCAAATTTTAGTGGGTCTCAAGTCTCAATATTTATGGACTATGGATTTGGATCCAGTGATGGGCTTAGCTTTTCCTTTGCTGTGAGCAAGTCCATTACCTTTAGCTACCCAAATTCAAGCCCAAAAAAAGTAAAAAAAAAAAAAAAATTCAACGGCGATGAAAAAAATCTGAGAACAGCTCATCAGATTCCCTAGTTATATTAAAGTCGGAAAAAACCATTTCCAGCTGTATATATAATATATATGAGAATGTTACCATCTCGTTACGGGATGGTTCCGTCGTGTTTTTAAGCGTTGGATTAACTACTCATCACTAGATTACATGTATATCTATGGCTAGAAAACACAACGGAAACCATCCATAACGGATGGTAGCATTTTCCTAATATATATATACACACACATCAAACGCACGTAATCATCGGAAATGGAAACGCTAGCCACCACCGCCGGCGCCGGCTCTTTGCCGATTTTCTCACCCAACAAGGCCAAGCTCGCTCCTTCCTGGCGGATCGTCCGATTCCCCACTTCCCCCAAAAGTCTGCTTTCCGACCACTTTTTTCTCCTTCCATGTTAATCTCCTTTTTATTCTCTCCCAATTTAACCCCCCCCTTTTTTTTTTTCTTCGTTTTATTTTGTTCTTAGTCTACAGGTAACAGCGCCGATGACCGGAATAACAGTGAGAACGATCTCAAGTCCGATCCTGCTAACTCAGCCCTCGTCCCCCACACTCTCTCCAAGGCGCGTGATTTTTATCTGCTTCGAATTTACCGATTCATGGAAAATTTGATTTTCCTTTTTTTACAGGATGCTGCGATGGGGCTGGTTCTTAGTGCGGCAAACGTGAGAGGATGGAAAACCGGGTCGGGTATGGAAGGCCCGACGGTCCCAGCGGGTACGGATTCTGAATCCGGCACGGCGCAGGTGTCTACTTTCCCCTTGTCGCTCGGATGCGCGTCACGTGCAACGTTTGCGGCCAGCGCACCACTCGGGCCATCAACCCACATGCTTATACCGATGGCACTGTATTTGTTCAGGTAATTTTATAAGGTACAGTTCGTATTTTCAGCCTTTAAAATTTATATTGATTCAGTAAAATTCTTTCAAATTCTGTTTACATTAATTCGGATGTAGAAAAGAGTATCAATTTATCAATTTTGTCTCCTGTTTAATTCATACATACATACAGGCTCATGTAAGAGCCTCAAGCTATAATGAAGTTATATTCAACTATTTGTAGAATATGCACCCATTTTTGGATGAAATATTTGGGAGTTCAGGCTGTTAAGCTATATAGTGGCATTCTAATTTTTATTTTATTTTTTTGGGTTAGTGTTGCGGTTGCAATATATTTCATAAGCTGGTGGACAATCTGAATCTGTTCCACGAGATGAAGTGCTACGTGAATTCGAGTTTCAATCCTTCGATTCGGACGAGGACAACAAGGACGACATTTTTCCGCCTTTTTGAAAGGCAATAAACTCTATAAGTGCATTTAGTGATGTTAACATACATATTTGGTGTAAATTCTATTGGTCTGTTGACTTTTACATTGTGCTTGTAAATAGCAATGTGACAGAGTTATTGTTGTAATAATTAGTAGTACTCATTAAGGGATATGATGTGAAGGAAACTATTTATATGATCAAGGTGATGGCATGATGATATGCTAAACCGTATAAATAAAATAAGAATCGAGTTCCTTTAGTGAAATGGGAAACTAGTTCAAGTTTTTTCCCGAGTAACATTGCTGCATAGTTTTTTCCAAGGGTTTAGGTTGAGGCAAATGTGCCAAGACTGCATCATAAACTCGTGGATTCATATACTGGCAGATATATAGGTATGTTGATACTTGCATTATCCTTTGATCTTGTGGCTATTAGTTGGTTATTGATGATTGTGATGAGTTAGTTGTGGTCATGCAATCGATATTAGATGAATAAACAAGATGAAACAGCTGCTTGTTACAGCCGAAGAATAATTGATGTTAACAGATGCTATTGGGCGAAGACTGACATCTGATATTGTAGATGTCCATTATATTGTTTTGTATTTTTGGCTGAAGTTTGTGCAAAATGGATTCCTGTTCCTGTGTATTCATCGAAGGCTTTATATACAATTGCTTGCTTGCCTTCAGTTTTCAAACATTACACTTTTCATTTTCCAAATAACTACACTTGCTGCTCGTTTTGTAGACAAACTTGAGCACAAACATGGTGAGAGTATTTACTGATCTAGTCTGCAACTTTGCAGTGAATTCATGTAGTGTTTTGACATTTTTCTTTCTTTAGGTTCAACCTTGGTTAACTGTGAACGTATATGATTTACCTTTTTTTTTTTTTCCTTTCGGAATACTTGAACCTTCATGATAACCATCTTTCATGCCTATGTTGAGACTCTACGGTAGATTAAAATGTACCCTACGGTAGATCAAAATGTATTGTTGTCTGATTGTTTTTTCAATGGAAATACTTGAACTGATTTTGCTTCGAGTGGCGTTAAAAGTAAAATGCGTTCGAGATAGAGTTATTCAGTCATTTGTTTCCTCATTTATCAACTGATTTGGTTTTTCTCTTCATAGCTTATACGTAATTTGTAGTCGTTTTTTTGCTTGTGGACTGATATTAGCCATTGACAAATGGAAATATCTTCATGTCAATTGGATTTCTCCAAACTTGTGAAACCATCAACTCCACAAACAGGAATCATCCAACCAAGCTAAGCTAACGACGCAATGGGTCCCTGGAAAAGCACAAACCACAACACTTAAACCACAGAAAATATCATCTTCCACAACTCAGGGAAAAGCACAAACCACAACACTTAAACCACAGAAAATATCATCTTCCACAACCTAAACCTCGTTTCCTCTTTCTCCCCTTTTCTTGATTTCCAAAGGGAAAAAAAAATATCTCAGCCCTCGAAACCTTACAAAATCACTTAAGAGCATGGCAGCTACTACTATCTCGCGAGCTCAAGGCCAGAATGTCGACATAATAGTTATATTTCTTTTCCTTCTTTTTATTAGAATCTCAATGAGATGGTATTAAGAATTTTATGGAATTTGTAATGCGATTAGCAGAAAATCACATTACCTACTTCAATTCATATTGCATATTTGCATGCCTAAAAGTTTCTGCTGACAGGTCATTTACTGTCCATTGTCTTTTTGAGCAAGTGAACTTTACAAGGACAAGTACATGATGAACAATTCTGCTATTTTATTTTAGTTTTTGCCCTTCTCCAACTCCAGTTTTCTTTGAGCCCTTCTCAAAAGCATGCTTCTACTTCACAATATGTGAAATGAAATGATATAACATTATTTTTCACTTGATACTATTAATTTACTGCTGCATTGCAGATCCCAACTATATTTTACAAAGCATGGTTGGACACTTTAGTATTATATCAAACTTGAGCTCGAGCAGTTCAATCGAGCAAACGAGTAGAGCCTCAAGCATCATTTCAAGAGGTTCGTAAGCTCGACGAGCCGCTTGACTTTTAATTTACATAAATACTCCATATAGTTTAATTATCAATATTAGAACATCAAGGCCATAATTGTCTATTAGGTTAAAAATAGTACCTTAATATTTAAAATTTAGTTGTTAAAATTTTGAGTCAAGCTCAAGCCATGTCGAGCACGGAGTCAATCTCGAGCATTCTTATTTTTTTCATGTGTCAAGTCGAGCAACATTTTACACTGATCGTCGCACGAGCAGTTAAGAAAAAGTCGATCTACGGTCGATAAGGTTCATGCTCAACTCCACTCGACTATTTTTCAGCCATAGTAGGAGACTATTATGTTTATAATACATTATATA